GAGGGGCTAATGAGCCCTTCTCGAGCCCACTGTGTGAGAACTCGCTGAGGGCATTAAGGCCCTTAGACGAGCTTGGAGAAAAGGCAGGGTGGGGATGAGGGTCACTGAGGAGGGGGGGCTGGAGGAGAGGCCCTCAGAGGAGGTTCCAAGGAGGCACAGAGAGGCAGTGGGAAAGGCTAGAGACCAACTGGGACCTGTGGACTGCTGAAAAGCTTTTCAGAGGAAGGCACTTGGGATCCGGGGTTAAGCCCAGCAGATAGGTTAGATTAACTGGGGTTGGAGTTGGGGCCCTATTGCTGCCAGCTAGCTTCCTCCCAAGCCCTGGAGAGCTGGTTGAGCAGGGATTTGTAGATCTGCATCTCCCAAACTTGCCTGCTGAGAAAGCCACTCAGGTATTTTTAACAGCAGGTTAAAAATACAGGCCCTGGGGGCACCTGGGTGGCTCAGTCGGTTAAGCGTCTGATGCTTGGTTTCAGCTCAGGTTGTGATCTCAGGGTCCTGGGATTGAGCTCCCGGCATTGCATCAGGCTTCCTGCTCAGCAGGGAGTCTGCTTGTCTCCCTCTCTCTGCCCCTCCCCCGGCTCGTTCTCTCTCTCTCTAATAATCTTTCAAAAAAAAAAAAAAAAGTACAGGTCCTAAAAATACAGATACAGTTCCTGGAGATCTGGACTGGGCCGGACTGAGGTGGGTCAGGAATTCTGAGGAGGCAAGTTGGGGGAAAGCGCTCAGTGAATCTTTTTGTCTCTCTGGATCCTTTGCAAGAACATGAGGCTAAACCACTCACCCTCTCACCTGTGATAGGAGAGAATCGCATCACTCTTCAAGGCATAGCACAGACCCCTCGTTCTCTAGATGAGAGGTGGCTGGAGCTAGGCTGGCCTTCAGGACTGGTCCATCTCCACAGTGGGCTGACTCATGGCCATTTCTGGTGAAAGAAATGAAATGAGTATGCTTATGTCCTTGTAAAAAAGATGCTGACCCTCTAGTGAGGAAATGGGATCAGGAATGATGCTCTGGCTAATTGAACCACATAAATAGCTAAATGGAAGTATGGTATGAGCATTTACACAAAGATTGTGACAACAGAATTGCCTCTTTTGAACCTAAGGTTATCTAACCAATACATCACTGGTGAACACTTGCCCTTATTGTAAACCAGGAACCATAAAGCAGAGGTCAGCCTATCTGTGCTCCCCAATAATAGGTGGCTTCACACCCCTCAGTCTGTAACCCAAGAAAAATGAAAACATGCCCACACAGAAACTTGAACACAAATGTGCGTAGCTGCCCAAAGTGGAACATCTCAAATGTTCATCTGCTGAACAGATGAACAAATTGTGGTAGAGCCATACAATGCAATATCATTTGGAAATAAAAAAAGGAAGTAAGGAAGTACTGATTCATGCCACAACATAGATGAACCTTGAAAAAATTGTGCTGAGTGAAAAAAGCCAGACACAAAGGACTACACAGTGTATGATTCTGTTTATATGAAATATTCAGACTAGGCAAATCCACAGAGACAGAAAGGAGTTTGGTGGTTACTTGGGGCTCGGGGTGGGATGAACAGGGAGGGACTGCCAATGGGTATAGGATTTCCTTTGAGGTCATGGAATTAGATAGTGGTGATCGCTGCACATTTATTTATCACAATAAAGCTGCTAAATATATATATATATGGAAAAATAGTAGGTAGTCTATAGGTATTTTCAGTATTTAAAAAACAAAACAAAGAAACCAGATAGGTAAGGCTCACCAAAATGTTACATTTTTCTTTTCTTTTTTTTTTTAAGATTTTATTTATCCATTTGAGACAGAGAGATAGAGAGAGCATAGCAGGGGGAGAGGCAGAGGGAGAGGGAGAAGCAGACTCCCTGCTGAGCCGGGAGCGGGGCTCGATCCCAGGACCTGGAGATCATGACTTGAGCCGAAGGCAGACGTTTAACCATCTGAGCCACCTAAGCGCCCCTATGTTTTGACTTTTGGTTAAAAGTGGAACAAGTGAGCATAGTAACCCTGGTTAGTTCATACTTATAATAAAAATTTCTCTGTAAAGAACTTTTCCTATGTGCCAAGCACTGTGCTAAGCACCTTGCATACACCAAGTAACATAATCCTTGTAACAGTGGGATGGTGCAGTTTATTACCTCCATTTTTTAGGTAGGGAAATTGAGGCTAGGAGAGTTGAACAACTTGCTCGTGGTTGCACAGTTTCTAAGTGGCAGAGCCAGGATTTTAACCAAGTCTGACAGCAAACCGCCTCCTTGCATCATGTGGATCAGAAATTCTGTGTAGAGGTTAATTTGTTCACTTGCTGTTTGGTTCAACTGATAATTATGAGGAGTTAGCCAATGTCAGGGCCAGAGGATTTACCACTCACCACCAAACTACTCCAAATCTAAGAAAAAACTGTGCTTGTTGCTAAAATGTAGTGTTCACAAAGGAAAACATTACTCTCTGACAAAATATGAACATATATCAAAACATTGACCTCCACAAGGGAACCCATAAGATGTCAAAAACAGTTCAGACGGGAGCTCAATACACAGAGATTTATACTCCCTTCTGATGAAATTCATATGGCTCACTATAAACGAATCACTGATGTTGATAGACCAGGCACCCACCAGTACCAGTGGCCAACTCAACCTTTGTAGGGAGAATTCCACTGTTGCCATATGCTCTCCCTGCTGCCATCACCTCTTTGTTTGCAGGCCCACAGAACAAGCACCATGCTGGCTGGGTAAAGAAGCTCTCTGATTCCACAAAGCACAGAAGTTTGTCTATCTGATTATTAAGAGTCTGCTCCTAATATTCACATGGGACCTGAATATCTTCAGTCTGTACCCAATCAGAGGGATCCAGCCACATACCTCCTTCCAGATTTCCTTGTCACCAATCTTCCAATCCTAGTCTTTTCAAGGCCCTGACCATCCAGCCAAACCATCAGCAACTGCCCAAGAATCAGTGTAAATATGTACTCTGGCCATCTCTTCCTCCAGACATAGCAGACAGTCAAATACCTGGCTTGAATCCCTGCCCACTGGGAGGATTTTCCTTTACCAGTGTCCTCACAGTCACCCCTGAGTGGGGCTGTAATGCTCCAGCTGTCCACTTGCGGACCCATCTGTAATCCAGGCTTGAGTTTTTCTCCCTCAGTCAACTGATCATAAGCAATCCCTTGGAGGTCATAGGTATGGAATGAGGGAGGAGGCAAAGCAGTAAGAATTGGTGTTGCAGGACTCTGAACCACCTACTCATGCAATTTACTTGTACCTAATGGATCCGCCTGAGTTCAGTTATATATAATCTATCTATCATCTATCTATCTATCTATGTACTTCCACTTGATGACACATTGCTGCTGTGCATGCCCAACCTTATGCCTAGGTAGGTCAGACAACATCCACATGTTGAGAGCTCAAGCTACATGGTCACCTGATATCGCATGGTTAGTCATTCAGGCTCTGCCAAGGTCCAGTAGCAAGTCAGAACATGCTTCTTGAAAGGAGAATAGCTATCTGCGGAAGAGGACACAGATTTTCTTTGAAAACCTAGGGGTCTGTGCTATAATCCTCCTATTGGTATTTACTGGAGTGTCCATACAGGATCCCTATTTGACACAACACATATCATTTGATCTGTTGGAGCATAAGACCTAGGTGGTAGAGCAGCTCTTACTATAGCCTAAATGTGCTACAGAACCTTCTCTTCTTCCTCCCAATCTACCAGCCTGTAGATGGGTCCAATTCACACACTCATATGTGGTGTATGTTGCCTCCAAAACCCAAAAGGACCTCCCAAATGTCTTGCCTCTTTTTTCTTGTAGGTGATACAGGGGCACCAACTCCTCTTTCACCCTGAAGTGTGATATTTCAACATAATCCAGACCACTGCAGCCCCAGAATTTTCACTGCTAATACCAATTCTGTGTCAGTCTAGGTCCAATCAGGAGAAAGAAGCCATAGAGTATCATGAACAGAGAAAGGAAAGGTTAATGTAAGAAATATTAACTATAACAGAGGCTTGGAGTAATAAGGAATTGGCCAGTAAAAAGTAAAGAGAATTCTAAGCAATATAGGAATGGTAGCTACCAGAAGCATATCCTGGAGCTGAGTACTCACCTATTCCTACTATAGTGATAATTAAACTCTACTGTGGGGGCTGTTTCTTTGTTTCAGCACTAGACTGTAGGGTTCTTGAGAGCAGGGGCCACATGCCTTGTTCTCCATTACGTTTCAGTGCTAACAGGCTCTGAATAAATATGAGCGAATGAATGAATACAGCTAGTATTGGCACTCCCACAGCCTGCAAGAGAAGGATCCTATTTCCTGCCACATATGCCAGATCCAGCCCACACCTGGCTGCTTCTGTCCAGCGGAGAGGTGCTAATAATGCTTGCAAGGGAGTCGTCAGTGGAGGGCTGCGGGTAGCCTTTGTCAACCTCTTCTTCTTTTTTTTAATATTTTATTTATTTATTTATTTGAAAGAGAGACATCAAGAGCGAGAGAGGGAACACAAGCAGGGGGAGTGGGAGAGGGAGAAGCAGGCTTCCCGCCGAACAGGGACCCCCAATGCGGGGCTTGATGCCAGGACCCTGGGATCATGATCTGAGCCGAAGGCAGACGCTTAACGATTGAGCCACCCAGGTGCCCCTGTCAACCTCTTCTTAAGAGGAGGCAAGAGTCTAGCTCAACTTTTCAGACTCTCCCCTCTGGGTTCTTAGTCCCCAGGCCCAGAGCTGAACAATAATCCCCCCCAAAGTCTCATTCTGTTTCTGATCGCTGTGTGAACGCGTGCACACCACCGGGCCTGGCCTTTGGGGCCGGAACAGGTGCAAATGGGATTCCCACGAAAGGCTCCTCTCCGGACCTAGGAAAACAACTGCCACGCGCGCGGAACCGGGGCGGGGCGAGGCGGCCCCTCCCTGGGCGGAGGCGCAGCCAGGCCTAGAAAACCGGGTCGGGTCGGCTCGGGGCCGTGCTGGGAGAGGTCAGGCCATGGCGGACGCGCTGAAGGAGCGCACCGCGCGGCTGCTAACCGACTACCTAGAGTACTGCGCCCGGGAGCCCGGCACCCCCGCGCGGGCGCCGTCTACGCCCGAGGCCGCGGTGCTGCGCTCGGTGGCCGCCCAGATACTGCAGCGTCACGAGCGCTTCTTGTCTCATTACCGCGGCTACCGCGGCAACCGCGTCGAGCTGGTGGCTCAGGTGGAGCGGGAGATACTCGCCCACCCCCAGCCCCTAAGCTGGGGCCGCGTGGTGGCGCTCTTGACCTTCGCGGGAACACTGCTGGAGGGATCGCCGTCGGGGATCGACCAGGAACAGGAGTTGGGGGACTGGGAGGCCACCGTTCGCCAGGACTGCGAGCGCCTGGTGGACTTCCTCTGCAATCGGCTCACAGGACAGCATCGCGCCTGGCTGGAGGCGCACGACGGCTGGGTGAGCGCGGGGAGGACTCGGGAAGCGGGGGGACGGGCAGCCGGGGACGCGCCCACGCGGCCACCACCGGGAGGGCCCTAGCGGTTTCAACTTGGTGAGGCGTTCCTTTCAGCAAGACGAGGACTTTCGGTGTTAAGTCTGGTTTCCTCCTCTCCTGACTGAGTCACACTGGCAGAAACCGCCCTTGCTAGACGGCTCTCTTACTAACCCATTCTGAAGCCCATGGGCACGACCTGGTTGGCCCACTGTGGCCTTAGCCTTGCCGGTTTTAGGGGTTTTAGGATGCGCCTACGTTAGGGTCGGGATGCTTCGCTCATAGCCTGGTGAAATCAGCAGTGGGGCGGCCCTGGGCCAGGTGGATTCTTTCTCCTCTGCTTATTAAGCAACCTTTGGAGAGACAGAGGCCACTGCGCTGCAGGGTGGAGAGCACCAGCCTAAAACGTTAAGTGGGAAAGGCATCCCCTTGCCCAGCCCCCAACACCCCTCGGGAAGAGCCGGGACCAGAGGTGTTGGAGAGTGTGCGCAGGCACCCAGTGGTGGTATTGACTCACAGTTCCTTACTTCTAATCCTCTGCACCCAGTCCTTCTTTGGGTGATAACCAGCTGCTATGGCTTTCAGCTGTAGGTCATTGATTTCTGTGGTCTAGGCTAGAGGGGCAGGCTATTGCCCTGCAGCTCTTAAACCGGTTTAATGATCAAGGAAAGCCCACCACCATTCTTCAGTAAGAAGAGAGCATGCCTCTTGGTTTCTGAGCTAGACTCCTTCCTGTTCCTTTCCTCTCTTCCTCAAGTTAAAAAAGGAACTAAGGAAGACACCGCAGGAAATTTAGCTCTTGTTGGCGGTTGGCATCACCTGTGGTGACGAAATCGGCCCCATTTATGGAGGAGAGGTAGTACCTGAATCGGAACCCTGACCTTATATGAACAGTTCGAGGTGTTAGCATTAACCCGCATTCTTCTTGGTCTGTGTGCTGTTCTTCAGGCCTGTGAACTCTAAGAACCGGACCTGAGCCCTGTCTTAAGAAGGCATTTGGCCCCTGAGGGCCCTTTGCAGTTAAAGAGGAAATTAATTGGGAGGAGGTCATTGTTTTTATTATTTTGGCTAATTAACATTGACTAAGGAATAATCTTTTAACATCAAGAGGCCCAGATTCCCCCAATTACATAAAGGGGACATGCCCGCACCTCTTCCTAGCTACAGTTAAAATGCCACTACCTCAGGGTGCCTGGGGGTTCCAGTCAGTTAAGTGTCTCAGACTCTTGATTTTTGGCTCAGGTCCTGATCTCAGGATTGTGAGATCTAGCACCTCGGGCTCAGTGGGAGCCTGCTGAAGATTCTTTCTCCCCCTCTACACTCCTCTCTCTCCCCAACTCTTTAAAAAAAAAAAAAAAAATCCCCTATCTGTACTTCCATTCCTTTCTTCTCCGTTTATCTGAATGGAGCTGCTTGCTTTATTGTCTTAGATGATTGTTTTCAACCTAGTGATTTGCCAGTTTCCCAAATGGCATCTGCCCTTGGCTCAGGAAAGAATGTGATAAGGTAGTCTACGTTCCTCTTAGGTTTCTTTTTTCTTTGCAAGTTTTAAATTTTTATTAACTTAAAATTTGATATAATTGGCAGTGTTACTAATTTCAGGTGTACAATATAGTGGGTGGCTCACTTGGTTAAGCGTCTGCCTTAGTCTCTGGTCATGATCCCAGGATCCTGGGGTCCTGGGATAGAGCCCTGCCTCAGGCTCCTTGCTCAGCATGGGAGTAGTCTGCTTCTTCTCCCTCTCCCCTTCTCTCCCCCCGACCCCGCTCTCTCTCAAATAAATAAAAATAAATCTGAAATGCTTCATGTTTTTTATTTTGCCTATCTCCCCACCCACCTCCCCTCTAGTTTTCTGTATTTATAAGCCTGTTTCTGTTTTGTTTGTTCAGCTTTTTTTAGAGTCTGCATATAAATGAAATCATGTTTTCTTTTTTTTAAGATTTTATTTGTTTATTTGACAGAGAGAGCGAGAGCAGGAACACAAGCAGGGGGAGTGGGAAAGGGAGAAGCAGGCTCTCCGCTGAGCAGGGAGCCCGATGCGGGGCTCGATCCCAGGACCCTGGGACCATGACCTGAGCCGAAGGCTGGCACTTAATGACTGAGCCACCCAGGTGCTCCTGAAATCATGTTTTTTGTGTCTTTCTGACTTATTTCACTTAGCATAATGTCCTCTAGGTCCATCCATGATGTTCCAAATGGCAAGATCTCATTCATCTTTATGGCTAAGTAATTTTCTATTGTATAAATATACCACATCTTTATCCATTCATTTATCGACGGATGCTTGAGTTGTTCCATAGTTTGGCTATTGTAAATACTGCGGTAATGAGCACAGGGGTGCATGTATCTTTTCAAATTAATGTTTTCGTTTTCTTCAGGTAAATACCCAGAAATGGAATTACTGGGTCATATGACATTTGTATTTTGAATTTTTTTGAGGAACTGCCATAATGTTCTCTATAGTGGCTGCACCAATTTATATTCCCACCAACAGTTCCCTTTTTTCCACATCTTCGCCAACTCTTATTTCTTGTTTCTTTGATACTAGACATTCTGACTGGTATGAGGTGACCTCTCATTGTGGTTTTGATTTGCATTTCCCTGATGAGTGATGCTGAGCATCTTTTCATGTGTCTGTTGGCCATTTGTAGGTCTTCTTTGGAGAAAGGTCCATTCAGGTCCTCTGCCCATTTTTAATCAGATTATTTGGTGTGTAGTGGGGCTTGGTGTCCTCTTAAAAAGGCGGGGGGGCAGATCAAAAAGTGAGTATTCTTGCTGTGACAAAGTTGTCTCCTATGTTCTCCTTTTCCCTATGTTGGATTCCTTACAAATCCTAACTCAGCTTCCTAAGTACAGGTTGCCTCTTGGTCAGTATTTACTTTTTCTATTCTTTAAATCCAGGAATTACCTTGCTGTTTAATCCAGAAGTGCCAGTGTGTTTCATTGAGTCCAGGCGTGGGGCATTCTGAAACGGTCTAATTCCCTTCTCCCTCCCCCTTATAGGATGGCTTTTGTCTCTTCTTCACACCCATGCTGCCGTCTTGGAAAAGAATGCTGGTCCAGGCTCTTCTGTCATGCTTTACAGCAGTGATCTTAATCTACTTCTGGAAAAGGTTATCGTGAGTTCTGAAATTTTTAACGCATTTCTACCTGCCTAACTGTGACCAGCCAACTGAATTTGAGATGTGAAAGAATAGAACAGAGTAAACCACCTTCTGAGACATTTTTACCTGCCTTCATCTAAGGAGTCCTGTGGTGATGGTTCAGCCAGAGTTTTAACTCCTGGCAAGTACTCAGAGGTATTAGGACAAAGGCACAAATGGCTCTTCTTTGATTGGGGAAAATGGATTCTAAAGGTTCACTTCTCTAAAGAATTGCAGTAGAAGCTACATTCTAGTTAAGTGGGAAACATGGTGCTTTTTGCTACCTTTGGATAAGAGTGAATATGCATCTCTCATCTATCCAGTTTCATGTGCTACTGCTGACTCATTTCTCAAGGCAGTCAGTCAGTGGTGGAATGCCAAAAGCCCTCCAAGTCCCAGTTTGACAAGGAATATAATATTAAAAACTTTTATAAGGAATTCTAAATCCTTTGAAATCGAATTCCTAATTCTACCTTTCTAGATTTTATAAAGAATTTATATTTTTGACTTCAATAAATTGTTAAATATCTTTGAATTTTTAATAAACATATGTATCTTTTTAAAAAAATTATTGGTTTTCCTTGGGATTTAATAAGACTTTATTCTTTTTTTTTAAGATTTTATTTATTTATTTGAGAGAGAGAGAATGAGAGACAGCACAAGAGGGAAGAGGGTCAGAGGGAGAAGCAGACTCCCCACTGAGCAGGGAGCCCGATGTGGGACTTGATCCCGGGACTCCAGGATCATGACCTGAGCTGAAGGCAGTCGCTTAACCAATTGAGCCACCCAGGCACCCAATAAGACTATTCTTAGGAGTAACTTGAATTGAAGAAAATTTCCTTTTTTATTTCTTTAAATACAATACATACAATTCTTTATTTTAAACATTTAATCAATATACAAACTCATAAAAAGTCCTTCACTTCCACCTTCCGTTTTGCAGTCAACCCATCACCTGCAAGGTGATAGGGAGGAAAACTTTAACTCTAAGCTCTTAGGCTCTCTACCTGATGCCTGTGAATTTAGCAGACAGATTAACAGGTGAAAAACATGGATCTTGATGTTTTTACAGGAGACTTTATAGAAGAGTGAAAACTTCAAGGAAATGTGTAGATTCGGGGTTTATATACTTTAACAACAAGGGATACATCGTGGAGTAGACAAAGGAAAGGGGTTAGACTGGTAGGGGTAGTATATTCTGGGGAAAGGACTAGGAAATAGATGGGGGAAACTAATGGAAGATGAGGGTTATTTTAATCCAGTCTGTACAGTCTTCTTGGTGTTGATTTCCATCTCCAGTGATGAGTGTTCTCTCCTTCCTGGTATAAATGGACACCTTTCTCGATGCATCTGGCTGGCTCAGTTGGTGGAACGTGTGACTCTTAATCTCGGGGTTGTGAGTTTGAGCCCCATGCTAGGGATAGAGATTACTTTTAAAAATTCTTTAAAGAGGAGGGATGCTTATAACAACAATATCCATAATAGCCAAAATACAGAAAGAGCCCAGATGTCTATCAACAGATGAATGGATAAAGAAGATGTGGTATATATACACGATGGAATACTACTCAGCCATCAAAAAGCATGAAATTTTGCCATTTGCAACAATGTGGATGGAAAAGAGGGTATTATGCTAAGTGAAGTCAGGGAAAGACAAATACAGTTGACTTCACTTAAATGTGGAATTCAAGAAACAAAGTAGATGAACCTAGGGGAAGGAAAAATAAAATGAAGATTGAAAGGGAGGCAAACCATAAGAGACTTAAAAGGGGGGGGGGCAGATCAAAAGGTGGGGAAATGAACTGAGGGTCGCTGGAGGGGAGGTGGGTGGGGACATTAAGGAGGACACTTGATGTAATGAGCCCTGGGTATTATATGCAACTGATGAATCACTAAATTCTACCTCTGAAACTAACTAAAAAAAAGGGGGGGGGGTTGCCTGGGTGACTCAGTCAGTTAAGCACCCAACTCTTGGTTTTGGCTCAGGTCGTGATCTCGGGCTGGTGAGATCAAGCCCTGCGTCGGGCTCTGCACTGGGTGTGGAGCCTGCTTAAGATTCTCTCTCTCCCTTTCCTTCTGCCCCTCCCCAACCCACGTGTGCTCACACATGCTCACTCTTTAAAAAAACCAACAAAAAAGAACCTTTCTCATAGGAAATTTATGTCCTGCTCTTAGGCAGAAAAGTAGAGGGCAGAGCCCTTCCTGTGTGTGCTATTTCTCAGTTGCCTTAAGCTCAAAATAATATGCCAAAGTTTCATATTTTGGAGTGACCTGTTCTAATCCACTTCAGTGGTGAATGGTGCATGCCATTATTCTGCAGCCAGCTGGACTCCACATCCATCTGTCCTTTCTGAGCCCACCCAGACCCTCCAGGCTTGCCATGTCCAAGCACTGGTGCTCTGGAGCGGGTGCTCCACAGCGCTGCCAGCAGCCACTGGAAAGGCGCCATGAGGACCCCAACATGCCAGCCCAAATCTGCTCAGCAGTCTCTCCATGGGCCAGCTCTTGCTGGTGCTATTAGAACAAGCCTGGGACCAAAAGGATAAAAATAAGTGAAGATGGGAAAGGATGTGGCCATTACAAACCATGGTGCCACTATTTTGAAACAAATGCAAGTGTTCCATCCAGCAGCCAGAATGCAGGTGGAGCTGTCCAAGACCCCAGATGAAGAAGCAGGAGGTGTTACCACATTGATGATCATCGCTGCTTGTTCTCTTAGATTCCTGTCTGAAGCTTTTTCAGAAAGAGATTCATCCAGCCATCATTTCCATTGTCCTTCCAGAAGGATTTGGGAAAGGGTATTGAAATCTTAACTCCTCTTGACCCGTGGAACTGAGTGACCAAGAAACTGTTCGATAATGGAACCGCTTCACTGAACTCAGAGTTTTCTTCGTGTTCAAGTCTGCTTTCTCCAGTAAATGGAAATGCAGTGAGGGAAGTGATTGACTGTGCCACAGCTACTGGTGTAGATCTTTGAGATACCAAAGTAGTTAAGAAACCTCAGGGGCATTATGCCAAGTGAAGTAAATCAGATGGAGAAACACAAATACTGATGATCTCTCTCCCAGGTAGAATCTAGAAAGAGTACATAAAATTAAATCAAAAAATTTAAAAAACCAACCTCACTGATGCCATATTGTTAGTTGCCAGGGTCAGGGAATGGGCGAACTTTTGTTCTAGTTTATTTTTACTTTTTAAGTTTATTTTTTTTAAAGATTTATGTGGGAGAGAGGGGATGGGAGGGGGCAGAGGGAGAATCTCAAGCAGATTCCCCACTGAGCAGACTCCCTGCTGAGCGTGGAGCCCAAATGGGGGCTCGATCTCATCCTAAAATGAGCTGAGCTGAAACCAACAGAGTCACCTAGGCACCCCAAGTTTAGGTAAGTAATCTCTACCCACAACGTGGGGCTCGAACTCATGACCCCGAGATCAAGAGTCTCATGCTCTGAGTCAGCCAGGCTCCCCTGTTTTGTTCTAGTTTAAATAAATGTTTATATGTATAATTATGTATGTATGTATAGTTTATATATAAACTATATATAGCTCATATATATATAACAAAACTGGGTGGGACAAATGATGACTACCGGTTGGTAGAAGGGCTGGTTCTCACCCATAAGATGATCTAACCAGAGTCGAAAAGGCTAAGATGGGGCTTACCGGGTTTTCCTTATCTGCTTCCAGAACAGATAGGGATAATCACATAGTAGTTTCCGATATGCCCAGATGGGCCCAGTACTAAGGAAGAAGCCTATATCCTAAATTTAGGGAGGCAAATTTTTTAAACCAGATATAATGTTCTCATACAGAAGTCTATTCTTAAGAGCTGCTCTTAGAGATCTTGCATTAAAATTTCCTGAACAAAATGAAGATTATGGTGGCTAGGGATATTGGAAGAGAAGACACTGAAGTCCTCTGTAAGACAACTGGAACCAAGCCAGTTGCTCATGTTGACCAATTCCCTGGTGACATGCTGGATTTGGCTGAGCTAGCTGAGCGGGTCAATTTAAGTGGTTCTGGCAAACTGCTCAAGAGGACTGGAAAAAAGTTACAGTTGTGCATCGTTCTAATAAACTGGTGATTGAAGAAGCAGAGTGCTCCATTCATGATGCCCTGTGTGTTACTTGCTGTTGAGTGAAGCAAGAGCTCTTCTTGTGGGAGGTGGTGCTCCGGAACTAAAGTTGGCCCTATGGTTAACTGAATATTCATGAACATTGAGTGGTCTGGAATTCCACTGTGTTCTAATGCAGATGTAATGGAAGTCCTTCTGTGCACACTAGCTGAAACTGCTGGCCTGAATCCCATTTCTGCAGTAACAGAACCAAGAAACTAACATGCCCAAGGAGAAAAACTATAGGCATTAATGTCTGAATTAATAATAATAATTTCCAATTATTTTGGAAGAACAGGTGTCCAGCCTTTGTTGATTTCAGTCAGTGCACTTATTCTAGCAACCGAAACTGTCTAGAACATTGTGCACATTGCTCATGTGGTAAACGCTCAGTAATCTGACACTGGCTCTCTGGCATCGTCATGGCCATGGGTAGTGTGGCTGGAGTAGAAGACTGCCTTGGTGCTCCTTGTTCAGAAGATTGTTTCCTTTTTGAACTCCAGGGCTTGGTCTTCCATTTGGCACTGGCTAGAAACGGTATTTGCACCCTTTTAATGAAAATACTAATACTTGGTTTCAAAAAATAGTATGGTATCCCTCCAGGCCTTTCAGGCCTTTATAAAAACTGGACCTGCTCTTTTGATGTCTTTTTTTTTTTTTTTTTTTTTGAGAGGGCGATGGGAAGAGGGGGAGGGAAAGGGGAGGGAGAGAGTGTGAGCAGTGGGGGGGGGGGGGCAGGGGTGTGGGCCAGAGGGAGAGAGAGAATCCCAAGCAGCCTCTACACCCAGCACAATGAAAGGTTACATCAACTTCTGCAATAATGCAGAATGCACTAGGATGGAACGGCAAGGCAGAGCTATATGTTCTGAAGAGAAAGGGTTCATAAGACTAGTCAAGGGACATCTGGGTGGCTCACTCAGGCATCTGACTCTTGATTTCGGCTGGGGTCATGGTCTCGGGGTCGTGGGATCAAGCTGATGTAGCTTTTCATTGCTCTGTATGTTAGCATGTTTCTTAAGGGCTATGAGAAACAACATCTCACAATTTTTTGTGTGTGCATAACCATGCATGACTATGTCTGTAAGAGAGAATCCTAGAAAGAGATTCTGAATCAGTTTATGTGTATTAAAACTTGGCTACTACCAAATTATCATTCAAAATAGAGTCTACCAATCCAAACTTACACCAGGGTAGGGAATGCTTAGCTCTTCACACTCTTGCCAGTATTAAATCATCCTAAAATTTTACCTTTTTGGCTTTTAGAGTTTGAGTCTTTTTTAGGAAGGTCACCCTTGTCTGAAGATTATAAAGGAAATCTTCTGTGTTCTGGGTCACTGATCCAGTCTGTAATTCTTTTAGTATAAAATAGGATTTACTTCTTCTAAGAGTTGGGATAGATATTTCAGCATTGCAGATAGTCCATTTTTCCCTCTACGGATTTGAAAGTATTCTCTATTTTGTTGACTTGCCTTTTCCCCTGCTAATAGCACTCTGTCTGAAGTACTATATGTTAATGTATGCCTGAATATCTAGTGGTCTAAATCTAGTTTCCCCAATGCTGTTCTTTGAAAAGAAAAAACAAATCCTTGGCTATTTTTGTGAATTATTTAACGTAAATTCCGAAAAATCGTTTATAAGGAATCCATTAAGACATTGCTTAGGATTTTTGTTAGAATGGGATTAAATCATAGATCAATTTGGAAATCAGTATCTTTACATTATTGTGAAGAACTTGTCTAAGAACGTGAACTCTTCTTTCATGTTTTTTAAGTCTCATGATTTCCTTTGTATAGATCCTATGTTCTTAGATGTATTCCAACACTTTGAGTTCTACTGCTATTGGGAATGGAATCTAGAGAGGATAATTTGTCTCCCCCATTTCTCCTGACACCCGCAGTTTTCTTAGCGGGTGGACTACCCCTCCTTTGTTCTTAGGCCATGTGGTTCTGGTGGGATTGACTCCTCCCCATTTGACCCTACCTCAAGTTCGGGAAAATGACCCAGACCTGGCCTAACAGAGTCCATTCCTCAGTGAAGTTAGCCGGACTT